TTATAGGCAATTTCCTTAAACACCCCTTATAGACCAGCTTCGTGAATGAGGCCTACTAACGGTAAGACTGACTTTTACTCATACATATATATAATGTTAGACTTTTAATGTTATATATAGTATAGGGTGTATTTTATACTTTTAAAATACTATATGGTTAACTTTAACAATTACACTTTTAATTCAATTAAATGGTTAACCTAAACTTTTATGGATTTATTAAACCTCCTTTAATTATACTCCTTAATTAATTAATAAAACCATAAGGGTGTGATTTGAACTTTTCAAAACATTACTAGAGTTTTAGAATTTAACATTTCTAATTAAACTTTTAATCAACTTTTAAATTCCAAAACTTGAGGGCAAGTTTTGAAACATTTCAAAACATTAGGGTTTTAACTATTTAAATTTCAACAAAACTTTTGGGGTTCAAATTTAAACTATAAAACCTAAAAGGATTAATTGAAACTATTTCACAAGATAATTCAAATCTAAATTACAAATAATCAAACTTTATCTAATAAAACAAGTGATTATCTAAATTTTGACAATTATCTTCTATTTTGGTAAGGATAATCACATAATAATGAAAAAATTCGGATTTTATCACAAAAACAAGTTTATGGTAATTATCCAAAACCAAAACAGGAAGAAAATCGCGAATCTGAGCTGTCAGACCCTTTGACTCGTCGAGTCTGGACCTGGACTCGTCGAGTACAGCTGACTCGGCGAGTTCACCAAGTGACTCGGCGAGTCAAACACTCAGAAACTCAAAAAATCGATTTTCAGTGCTTATTACGATTAAATATGCATCAATACAATTGAAACCAATCTAGGCTCTGATACCACTGATGGGTTTTGGTCATAAGACATCCTATGTGCTCATACAAACCCTAATGCTTGGATCTAGGTTTCTCTATTGTACATGCTTTGAATCCAAGACTATAAACCCTAATTCTAGCATATAATCATATTAACATGATAATAGGTTTAAGAACATACCTTGATTGTTATGTAGCAATAACAATCCCAATTCTCCTTGTATTGACTTTGGAAGGCTTAGAGTCACAAGTGTCACTCCTCTAATGGCTCACAAACACCATAAGCAAGTGGAGAAGGTATAAGAGAGAGTGAGAGGTTAGAATTCGTATCTAGGACCTCTTGGGAAGGGATATACGAATTCATGGCCCTAGGGGTGTTTATATAGGTGTAGAGATAGGGTTTCAGTCATTATCCTTATCTAGTTGATTATCCATTAAGCAACCAATAAGATAATCCTTGAATCCTTATCATACTCGAATTCTAAGGGATTTACACCTCAAATTCGTTCACCATATATATAAGATAATCCTTACCTTATTTTGTAACTATCACATAATTACAATTCAGCCCCTCTAGTTTAATTAATTACATTTGATCACAAAACTAATTCTTAATTAATTATTGACCAATATTAATTAAACAAATATGATTTCTCCTTTAATATATTATTCTTATAACATATTAATAAATCATATTATCCTCTCTCTCTTTATTCATTTCTCCAATCAAGTTGCTTTGGTGAAGGCAACCCAAAAGGACCATGCACCATCGGGTTAAGTACATACCAAAATAGTTATGGACTTAGACACTAATCCAACAATAACCAAGGCACAAACCCTTTAATTCTCTCTAAGTCCACCAATGGCCCACTAAAGGCCCACTAATGGCCCAGTTTTCTACATTGGGCCCCAATTCCTTTATTGGGCCTTACCCTAAGCCTAACACTTATACTTGTCCCATATTTATTGACTCTTGTTGGCCCACAAATGCCCAAGTCCAAAATACAGCCCACACCAAGGCCCAAATACTCAAGGTCCAAACAGACTGCATTACGCGAGGCGCACTCCAAAGTACGCTTAGCGTAAGGGCTTGATGATGAGTACGCTAGGCGTACCTACACGTACGCGAGGCGCACTCCAAGTCTTATTCCATGTCTTAAACCATAAAGTTGCTAACTTGATGTCTTGCATGACTGACATAAGCTCAAAGTCTAAAAAGAATAATCTATTTCCATGGAAATGGCTAGATCTCATGCATGGCTTCATGAAAGCCTCAAAGATTGAAACTTTATTGCTAAGAAAGTGTTTTGAGCCTCAAGGATGGCAATCCTAAGCTTAAAGACGGATTTACATGATCAAGATCCAAGCTTTGGACCTAAAAAGGTCCAAACTCCCATAACTATAGATCTAGAAGGTAAGGAAGAAAGTTAAGTGCTTTATACCTTTTTCTTATAACAAAGGGTGAGTTAAGCCCAGATCCTTGAGCTCAAGCTTCTTCTCCAACCTTTCCTTTCCTTCTTCACCACCTTCTTTCATTAAAAGCACTCACAAAAACAATTTCACATAATAAAGAGGGTCAGAACGTATTAGGGTTTTCTTGTGGGTGAGGAGGCTGATAAGAAACCAAGGGGGTGGGGGCTATAATGGGGTTTATATACCCCTTAAACCCTGAAATTAGGGTTTGGTGTCTGCTCATGTACGTTAGGCGTACATTATGCTACGCTGCGCGTACGCTTCTCATGTCCCGCACATCCAAAGACACTACGCCCCGCGTACGGCTTATGGGTAGTCTACATCTCGGACCAAGATTTCTAAAGTCCAATCCAAAAAGCCAAGTCCAACCATAGTCCTAAATCTTTTTAAGAGTGTGATTCAGTTCAATATGAGATCATTTAGTTTTCATTGCGGTGATGCCCTTTTGGCGTAGGATTAAAGCGTCGACATTGGACCAAGAAGCTCGAAGACCGATTAATTCCGCAGATTGTCATTCATTGTGGTTGTTGCGGGGGAGTGTGTCTTGAAGCAGAAACGAGAGCTGATTTCAAGGACGAAATCTAATCTAAGTGCGGGAGAATTGTAACATTCCGTTTAAAATTAAATAAATTAAATCAGTAAATAAATAAATAAATAATCCTAAAAACCCCAAGATATATTTTTATATTTTATTTTATTCTATTTTAGCCCTAAATTCATATTAAATTAGCGGGGTGTACACCTTGGGGTGTTAAAAGTTATATTTTTAGATATTGAAGATTAAAATTGTAACATATGGATTTGTGATGAATAGATTTTTTGAAGGCAGGGGTTGTTAGGTAATTAGTGGATTAAATTGAAAATGAATTGTGGAATCAGGGACTGATGTTGTAAAATTGTAATTAAATTTGAAATGGGA